GAATTGAGTTCTGCTTTTTCCTACGCGTCGCTAACGAACACCTCTATTCAATTATGCTCTGAAAACCAACTTTTCATGTTGTGAAAATTCGCCCGAAGCTCCCGACCTACACACAAAAAATGACAAAACACGAAGATAACCGAAAAAACAAACGAAAAACACCTAAAGACTCAAAATGGAGGAAAACGTATAATAAAGCACGAAACGGACTAAAAACAAAAGAGAAGACTTAAAACGGGGGGAAAAAGAAAAGCAAAACAAGCACGAAAAATGCAACAAAAATGGGACAAACAGTTAAATCAAAGCTCATCAAGAGATGATTAATTTGATATATTATATATGTAAAACTGATATAAAATACAAAAGTTATTAACTTTTAAAATACATTTACAATCTAATTTTTATAATAAGAAATGATATTAAAATGCAATTAATACATGTAACATGACCATAAATAATCAACATATAAGCTATTTGAGTAGAAAAAGTTATTGTTATAAAAATAATATATACATACTTGCATATAGAAATATTATAGAAACATTATATATAATAAAACTGGATGGGTGAGTCAAAAAATTATCATAATATTTGAATAAGATCAAAAGAGATTATATAGTGAAAACCCTCGCTCGGATCCCCAATTTCTTCCCTTCTCATCTTCGATCCCTAATCGCAAAATTGTTTCCTTCCTCTCGGCATTCCGCCGTGCCGGTAGCCGTACCCTTGCCGCCCAGCCCTTCCTGATGCCGCGACCCTTCTCGCCGCGGGTGCTGGTAGATAAAGAGGTCGCCAAATTTATTTGTGCTTTTCCCGCAACTGGATTTGGGTTCACGATCTCTGGCCTACTCGGTGCAGTGGCGGGTCCAAGGGTCGCGGTGTGACGGATTAGGGTTGGGTTCGGCTCTGGCTATTCGTCATCTTGGGTCTGAGAGCCGTTGACCTCCGGGTGGCCTCTCTTCGCACTCTCTACGTGCTCTCCCTCGAAGGCTCTGATGGATTTTTTGTTCGTCTTGTGGGTCGCCGAGGTGAGGTCTGCCAGTGTGCAATGTCCTTTCTCGCCGGCGGAATGGTGGTTGTAGGCGGCGGTCTTTTAGTGGATATCGGGTCGGAATTGACTTCGCCGGTATCGATTAAGATTTTTTCTCCTATTCTTGCTGTTGTTGTCTCGGTTTTCTTATGCCTGAAATTGGCGGTTTGCGGTGCTTCCTCTGGATTCTCCGATCGTAGACAAAGCCCTGTGGCTGCGGCTCAAAGTGGGGAGGCAGAGGTTGGTGCGTGCGTACGGGGTTGGGTTCGTTGGTGGTTTTGGCGTCTTGTGGCCTTTGGATGGTGGGGCTGGGGCTGGAGCATCGAATTAGCTCCTATTCCTCTGAATCATTGGGTTCGGGGGTGCTCACTGTTCTTCCGGAGTCCACTAGTGGTGTTAGGGGGCTCGGTTTGGCGGTGTGGGAAGTTTTCTTGGTGTTTTTTGGCTTTGGGAGAATTGACTTCGGGTGGGATTCGTGGTAGGAGTTTCGATTCATCTAGGCTGTTTGGCAGTGGAAGGGTCGCTTTTCTCTGGCTGTGGATCCCTCTAGGTTGATTTGGTGGTTGCTAGTGTGGTTAGGTTTTCGCTGAAGAGGGAGGGCTTGTGTGTTGTCTTATTGTTTTTTCAGTGTCCTTTGTATGTTTCGTCGAGTCTGTGTCTGGTGTGTCTGTTCTTTTGTTTCTGTTTGGGAGATGAATTCAGGCTAGGCAGCGTGCAGTGGCTCTGATGTTCATTTTCCTTTTTCGTTTGGTTGAGTTCTCTAGGCCGCCATACAATGTGCGTGTCCTCTCAGTTTGCGTTTCTGTTGTTTTTTAGGAGTGTTTTTGGTTTGGGCTGTTGGCCCCTGTCTCATTACCCTGTTGGGGCCGTAGATATTACCCCGTTGGGGCCTTGTAATTTGTTCCTTTTGCACTTTTGTGCTCTTTTATATTACCTCTATCGTTTCGAAGATCAAAATAACATCTAAGAATAATTTCTTGCAAATGTTTAATGTAAATATCATAATATAAATATTTAAATAACAAAACGAATATACTAAAAAGTAAAAATAAACAAAAAAAATATAATAAGACAAGTCATAATTTAATTTTAAGCATATACATTGTAATTTTTTTTTAATTTGATTACAATTTGATTCTAACCACTAGATCTGAACTTTTCATTCTTAAAATTAAATGTCTAATACCTAAAAATATAATGATATAACAGACCTGACCGATATATATTGCACTATTCAACTTAGGACTTTGCATTTTCAAACTTTTTATTTGAAATCATCACCAAAATTTTTAGTTTTTAGTCATTTAAAAATATAACTCTAATCCCTAAAAAATACTAGTCTTTTGAATATTTTATTATTTAAATGTCATTGCAGAGATATAACGTAAATTAGCGTAAAAAAGCATGCTACTTCAATATTTCGCATAAGTTTTCGGGATAAACGCTAAATATATAAAGCTACATCGCGTCTTTT